GGGCCAGAGCAACTAACTTGGATTTATTACTTGGGCTTGGGTTTTGGGCCTGAAACTAATATTGTGTTATTGGGCAATGGTAATGTATCCGTTCCAACAATATTGGGCCAAGTCCATTTCATCATCGCCCCATAGTTGAATATAAAAGACAAAATTGGCATCAATATTCAACAGCTCCATATTTAATACCATGCACGTATAGTGTCACAAATTATTATCTAAAGCTTATAAGAAAATCGATATAATTACACTAGTTCACACAGCAATAATTTAATCGATGTGATGTTAAGTAATTTGAATTGCCACTAAGCCAACTAACGCCTAGATAATAATTTGAATTGCCACTAAGATAAAAGTAGAAATCTATAATATAATACATTGCATTGCTCAATCAATGAATGTACACCGTTCAGCATTATCTTCTTCAATTACATTCTTCACTCTAGTCGATAAAGGATCTCACAGTAAGTTCTAAACTGTGCACGGTAACAGTTCATATAAATTATCCCTTTACCAACTTGGTTATCCTCAATTTGGATTTTATCAATTTATAAAACAGTGTGCACACTCTTTATATAGAAGTTTAGTTTTTTAAGATTAGTTTCTTTCAATTTTTAATTATGTAAAGGCATCACCATTTTCATGACATAAACAGTGAAACATGTTAATAATCTAGGCAAAACTTTCATATTTTTTTCAGTGCAAAACCATCTTGTCTTCCAATCACCTTCTGAAATTCTGTCTTCAGTTACCACTTGTTTCCCTATATTAGCCATTTATCTCTTTCTTTAGATACTTGCGTACAATCACCATGGGAATTCTTAGTCATCGACAGTGTAGCTTTAACGTGGTTAATTAGAGTTGAATACTACTGGACACGACCATCATCGTATTATTTTTTTTGCATGCACTGTTTGTCATACGATATATTCATTTTTAAAATTTTCTGTATTTGCCAGTCCAAAAATGAATTCTTCATCTTTCCAGTCTATCTATTCAAAGTTCATATGAAGATTAAATCTTGAATAAAAAATAGTTACCTAATAATATTGTATGTTGTTCTTTTCAACAGAATTTAATTATTATGAAAAATTTCAGGTGTCTAGTTACTAAGCCCTTGTTTGATTTATCTAATAATCAGACTTTTAATAAATTTTGATATGAGTTGATGAAATGTATGATTGGGTCTATGAAATTCGAGGTTATAATTAAATGCAGAAGTTGACTTTGATTTTTATCAACTTTTCTAAAAAAAAAATAAAAAATAAAAAAAGAAACACAGGAAGCTAAATAAATATATTTTTTGTTACTTTATATTAAATTGTATATTAAGTTCTTCCTTCCAAGTTCCTGTAACTTCACCGTTATTTGTTGAACTTGATAATAATAATAATTTTCTTACCGAATTCGTAATACTGTACATAGGAATATTGCTCATACTTTTGATGTAATATCATATGGTGATTTTAAGGCCATTGTTTGTCCATAGGCTTACTAACACTTCTGTATTGTGAAACTTAGTATACTACGACAAAAGAAGTTCCATTCTTTAAAGAATTCTACATCTAAGTTTTTTTTTTTTTTTTTAATGCGAACGAGTCTAAAGCGAAAACCTGCACGGAGACTGCATTAAAACCTTACCATTTTGTGACAGTTAAATATAGCAGCAGTGAGTTTTAAGTTTCAAAATGTAAGGATCGGGAGTCACTCTCATCCATCATCACTGCTGAGCACATTGTACCCTCTGGGCCCCACCATGCATATCTTTGTGTGCCTCTTGACGCTGAGCTTCCTTCCTTTGCATCTCCTTCTCCATGTTAACATCTTGCAATGTCGTCTCCTTGAACATCTACAGTTCAATATTTGACAGTTGCAGAGATGGCTTTGTGGTAGGACTGACTCCAAGAGTGAGACTTGCTCTAGAGTTGGAGATTTGGGGAAATCCACAGTAAAATCAATGTACAGTTTGTCACGCAAGTAAAACTGCTAATCTGTTTTCCATCAACATGAGTTCTTGACACAGACTAGAAGAACCCTACACCTCTTTTTCTCTAATTTTTTGTCGTACATTTTAATCGTGTCAACAATGGCTGGATCGCTATCAGGTCAGTTCTTCCACTGCAGTACTACTTGGTAGTATATTTCTTACATTAGGGGTATGGTGGATGTATTTTTGATGTGCATATGCGCATATAATTGTTAAACACTATTTTTACTATGTTAAAAATATGTTCATTTGATTTTGGGCTCCTTTATTGTGAGTTCAAATAGATTGATAATTATAACTTGTTATCAATTAAATTTACAGAGATCAATCGTGAGAATGTTGTTCATTATTTGTAATACTTTCTCAATTACCCTCTATCGAACTTATTTCAATTACCCTCTATCGAACTTATTTCACTATCAGCGAATGCTTTTTTAAGTTAAAAACCATGAGATCATGTCTGAACCCAGGCTAGTGTTAGTGAGCATTTATAATCCGAAGCCTTATACTTGATCTCAAACATAAATGATGAGCACACGAGGCGTATGAATGCAAAATTGCTGAGCGAGCAAATACAGTCTTCTTTATTTCCACCAGATATTCCACATAAGCAAAAATTATTATTGGAAGCACACATGAATGGAAATGCAAAGCTTGTTAAGATATGACTTAACTGTTGGGGTTTTATATAACATTCACAAAGAAATTTAAAAAATATTTTAATTCCGGATTAATAGCAGAATACCGCCTGTAAAAGTTTCAATTTGCGATATACCCTCTATCTGTTGGAAATCGTAGAAAACCCCCATGTTTCAAACATTTTGTGCGAAAAAACACCCTTGCCGCCAGCATCCATTTGGTGTGACGTTAAATCCTAGGGAAAAAAAGGGGAAAATGGATAAATAAGTAAGGGCGGATGCATTAATTTATATTTTCATCTTTAATAACACCCACCCAACACGAAGAGTGGGTTATTTATGTCCCTCATTTCATTGCCGGACACCACTTCGTTTCTTGTGTACGTAGCTGCAACCGCATTCATCACAAAATTTTATTTTCATACCTTTATAATTTTTTTAAAAAAATTGTACACGTAACAAGTTGTTCTTGTGACGGTTTATCTTTTTTAAAAAAAATTAAAAATATTTTACAAAATGTATATTTAAAAAA